GGCTGCTGTCCAAGAAGACCCAGGTTCAGTTCTCAGCACCAACATGGCCGTTAACAACCATCCATAACTCCAGTTCCAGGGAATCTGACACACTCTTATATATATATATATATATATATGTATATATATATACATATGTATATATCTCAATGACAGATTCAAGATTTTAGATAACTGCAAATGTGCAAATACAGAAAGGAGGAAGAACAGAGCCATGCATGGGTTTAGAATAACTTACAACAACCTTAACTACAGGGAGTGAGTTTTTTCTTTAATATGATGTAATGAACCATACAAAATGAGTCTGTAAGTTGTCATCACATTAAGCTTGTTTTATAATAAAGAAAAACTTGCTGAGGTTCAGAGCCTTTAACATGACTTTAACCCAGCTAAGGGCAGATGAAGAAGTAGTAACAATAGCTCCTAGAGGCCAGAGACCATAGGCAAGTGTCTCTGAGAGCAAAGGAAAGAGGCTGGGAGGGGCCAGAGTGGATGTGGGCAGGACAGTGGCAAGCTTGGGTGCTGGAAGAAGATGACATTCAGCAGGGGACAGTGATCACCTGGTCCATTCTCCAAGAAGAGGAGGAAACTTAACAAATCTTTTTCTCATTTCAGCTTTGCATATTAAGAACTGATTTGCAAGACAAAAATACAAGTAGGTAATTTTATCTCTGCTTCACAGAGTAACACCTCATCAGGAAGGGAACAAACATATGTGAACTCCAATATATCACCAAAATGGTGCATTCATACTTTTAACTATCATTTTAAAAACTCAACCTGAAATATTTAAAGTAATGAGTAGTTACTGGAGAAGATGATAATCTAACAGCAGAGTGTTGGCTGGCAAATCTTCCTTTTCCATCCTGTACTTTCCTTGAAGAAAATTAAGCAGATTTTACTGAAATTTATGTTCATCTGATGGAAAGGCATGAATGTTCACTTACATTTGCCTAATCAAATTACTACTATTGAACATAATTTTACATTAAGTCAAAAAAATATGCATCTATCTCACACTTACCTTCAGGTGAAGAGCCTGTCTTTTGGGAAAAGACAGCATTTACTTTACTCTTCTTACTGATGTCATTGCTTACAGACAAGCTGGACTGAATTTTTCTATGCATTTTTTGAGAAACAGGAGCTGAAATTTTGCGCTTATCGGCAGATGCATGTTTGGTCCCATGGTGAATTCCATTCCCATTGCTCAGACTGGTGCTGGTTCGGCCTCCGTTCTTCATCTTGCCTGTTTCCTCCTCGCTGGGCTCCTGTGCTGAAGTCTGTAGCTGAGGCAGCCGCTGAGGTTGGGCTGAGTTAGGGAACAGAGAAAGTTCACCTAGTTATGAAATAGGAACTATCACTTTGCAGTAATAAAAATACATTCAAAAATATGGATTTGAGGTTTTTACTCATAATAATAAAACTGATGGTAGGGGATGAAAGACAGGTAGGAAAGGAGGAAGGCTTGTAGGGAGGGGAGGAAGAAGGAGGTTTCAGGAAAAAGAGTGGGTGGGAGGAAAGAAGAAGGGAGGGAAGAAAGGAAGGAAGGAGGGAGGGAGGGAGGAAGGAAGGAAGGAAGGAAGGAAGGAAGGAAGGAAGGAAGGAAGGAAGGGAGAGAAACTAGTAAGAAAAATAAGAGTAAGTCAATTGACACAAGAATATAAAAGTAGAGGAAAAATTGCAGTTTTATAATTTTCAATAATATTTAAGTTAGAATTTTGAAACACATTTAGCAAAACTTGCTTATGGTCTAGATGGCGCTATCTCTTCTAGATACTGTAGATACAAAAGCGTAATCTCCCAATAGTCCTATACAAATTATGCGTTGAAATGAAAGGAATAATGGGCTCAGGCATTCAAAACTGGACAGTAAGAAAACAGATACAATTTTCTACAAAGCAATTTAAATCCTGAAAAAAAAAAAGAAAAAAGACTTTTCTGGTATATTTTCTTAATTTGATTTTAAAGAAAACTCCTTTAATCTGATACAACATAGCTTCCAAATGTAAATGGAAACACTTTAGAAGAAACTCTTGTTTGAGTTAGGATCAGGCAAAGAATCCCCACATTCCTCTTATTCACCATGAAACTAGATACAACAACAAAAACTGGCAAGGGGGCAGGAAAGAAATGATCAGAGTTCTGGAACAGAGAAGACAAAATTGTTAAGTTGAGCACAGACATGGATGTTCTGGAGTAATCTGAGACAGTAAATATTAAGGAAGATGTACCGTGTGGTACATGCCTTTAACCCCAGCACTTGGGAGGTAGAGGCTTGTAGATCTTTGTGAGATGGAGGACAGCCTAGTCTAAATAGCAGTTCCAGGCCAGCTGGGGTTACAGGGAGACCCTATCTCAAATAAACGAAATCAAAAGAAAGAAGGAATGACTTACACAGGATAAACCATATAATTATGGCTCAGTATGCAACATCAACAGGAACCAGTTAACAAAGGCATAAGAAAAAATTAACTCTTCACCAGAAGGGAAGAAAAAAGGAAAACCCGCCCCTTCCAGATAACCTAATAAAGATCCAGAGTTAAAGGAGAGAGGTATGCACAGAGATACTTATGAATGGCAAAAAAAATTACAAAACATTTTGGAAAAGAAAGAAGTCCAAATAAAGGGTATAAATATGTTAATCCTATATGTGTTGGTAATTATTTTCTATTTTAGTTAATTCAGCTCCTATTAGTATTTCCAATGGGCTTGCTTATGGATCATACAAAGCTGATTCCCCAAAAAAGAACAGGAATGAAAAACCACCAAGGAAAGTTTAGGAAAGTAAATGGAGGTTTGGCGAGATTTTAATCAGAGATGAAATCGCACCATAGAAATGTGTAGTACGTAAATCACTGTGGTATTTGGACACAGACAGACATAAAGCAATGGGGCAACCAATCAGTTCCCAGACATATAGGCAAGTGTGTACACATACATGTGCATGTGAAGCAAAGCCCATATAAATAAATTCCAGACCAGCTAAATGCCTAGATATGAAAAGAAATACTTTTCAGCTTAAAGTAGAAAGACAATTTTAATGGCATGTTACTAAGGACTAATTTGATTCATTGGACAATGAATCATTGAACAAGCAAGGTGAACAGTCACCATATGTGCTGACCAGCATTTCTGAACACACTCTTAGAAAAGATAAATCCCTTTGTCCCATCTCTAAAGTCCTCTGTGGCTCAAGGGTACATTAGCTAAATTCCACCAAGAAAGTGCCAAAAAGTTATAGGTGCCAGGTATCAGTCACCTAGGGAGGCAGGGGGACAAAGGAGCTTTTACTGGCCTTGGCTGTGGGGTGCAGCTCTGTGGTCCCCTTCCTGGCAGACCAGTGACCTAGGTGCTGCAGTGAGGTTTCCCAGAGAAGTCCCACTGAATGGACCAGTATAGCTCCTGGCTGTGTGAATCTTAAGAGTCTGTGTGATTCTGAGTCTATGTGCTACAAATAAAGTCATTTCCTACTTAAATTAGCCAAGGCAGATTCCCAATTTATGCAGCTAAAAGTGCCTACTCTCTTCCCACAAAATCAACTTATCTGTTAATACTCATCAAATAGGTACTTAAAACAATTTTTATCTTGACTGGTAGATTTTAAGCAAAGCTACAAGTCATGGATCTTCAGCAGAAATATCAACAAATAACACTAAATGTGAAAATCTCATAATTTCATAATTTCTTAGAATTTAGAAATGCAAAATAGCAGTCTAGTATGCTTATGATTACAAAAAATATGAAATATAAATTCAATAAGACTGCTAAGAATTCTTCAATTTAGAAAAAGTACTACTTGCCACATTGTCACAGTTGAACATGACGCTAATATGTGTCCAAAGAGGACTAAGTATCCTCTGGGGACTGGCTGGGATTGAGGATATAGTTTAGGTAATATTGTAATATTTTTTGTTCCTCCACCAAAAAAGCAGTATACAGCTGAGTAAACTTTAACATACCATTCTTGCTCCTATGTATCATAAAGGAAAATGTCTATCAAAATATTTTATTCATTAATGTGCATACTTTAAGCAAAAAAGACTTTTTAAAAGATTTATTCTATTTTAATCGTGTGTATGTGTGTGTGTGTGGGGGGGGGGTTGTGCATGTGAGTACAGGCATCATGCAGGCCAGAGGCACTGTATTCCCTAGAGCTAGAGTTACAGATGGTTGTGGGCTACGTGATGTTGGTACTGGGAATTGAACTCAGGTCTCTGGAAGAACTGTATGAACTCTTAATCACTGAGCTTTCTCTCCAGTCTCAAGATTCCTTATAAAAATTTGTTACACACATACACATAAAAAATAAAAACAGTAAATAAAATTTTTTAAAAATTTGTTTTGTTAAGAAAATCATGCTTTTATGTCATCCATTGAAGGCAGTACTTGATTTACAAAATTAACATATGAAATTCTCTCATGGTTCCTCAGTTCCATAGTGATAAACAAAGGGGAATAATTGTTTAAAAGTACCAAGATGTTCTCCTAAATTAACCTGAAGAGAAAGAAATTAACCTGAAAGAAAGGTCTCCTATCCCCACTTAGTTATTAAAAGAACTTCTTGTGACCAACATCTACAATCAACTCATCTAAAAAAGGAGATCTATTTCTTATGGGTGTGCAATCATTTGATTTAAAGAATAATCTGTCCCTGCTTCTTGTATCAACCAGAATGACATCCTAATGACTGCTATTGAACCAGAGCTAGTTATGCATATGCATTTTAAAAGATGCCAACGAAGACAGTTACACCTAATTTAGTGTTCTTTTCAGAGCACTTTCTAGTAATCTCTTCAAATAAATGGAATGTTTGGGGCTACTTTTTCTTTAAAAAGAATAATTCAAGCAATCTGAGAACTTGGTTACTTTGAAATGTCATTGACCAATGTGAGGGGAAAGCTTTGTCAATCAATCAAAAATGTCTTCTCACACTCAGTCCGAGATAACTTGAGAATTACTATGTAACAGTTTAACAGTCTCATTAAGTAAAAAATACAAGTGGTAAAAGACAACTGTGTCCTGCCTCCACATCCTAAACAATGACAGACTTGACCTTTTTTTCTACTAACCAAATTGACTCTGCAAATTATGGGTTACAGCTAGAGTGATAGTATAATACATCCTTAATGATGTATCTACAGTTCAATCATCAAAATCGTATCTATTTCTGAGGGTTTCATAACTGATAGCACATATTTTTTTCTTTCACTATTACCTAATTATTTTTACTATGGTTTTGTATTATAGTTAGATAACCAAGTATTATCTCTTCGCTTCCATTTTTAACATTAAAACATTTCTTTTAGTTGAATGATTATGCCAGACATGTGCAATAAGTCAAATCAAAATTAGATTAGCACTATTGCCTCAGTTATTTTAATAGATAGCAAATTAAACTGCATTGATCTTTTTCCATGAATATGATCTTAATCTTATGGTCAAGTTGTCATGGGGTTCAAAAGAAGAACAAAAATATCTGACTGATTAAACCCCAACTAGTGGATTTAAAAGAGATCTCTTCTCCTTATTGCACAGAACTTGTGTATGGCTTTAAAAAAATAAAAAGCTTGCTAATACGAAGACGACGCAATGCTTCTTAAAACACAAGCAACGCCTGGGGACCCTCACTCTCGCTTTAATGATGCACTGCTCTCATTCAGCTGTCTTTCTTTTTCAAATCTTTACATATGTGACAGCTCTCAAAAGTAGACCATAGACCATCTGGCATTTTCAGAGGTGTAACTTGTGCAAGTTCAGCTCTATTGGGAGCGCACTGCTATCTTCTGCCTGTGTTATAAAGGGACAATAGAATGTAGAACTTAGGAGTTGTTTTGAATTATTCATTTCTTTGCCTGTATATTCAAGAAATTTTTACAAACTCTGCATTTTGTACTACATAATCACATGCGTTAGAGGTACAAAGAAACTTTTTGACACCTCTTTTCCACAGAAAGCTGGCATTTTGTTTGATATGTGAACATTCAGCATCTGTTATATCACTCTAAACAGGATGGGTGCTTTGACAAAAGACCCCATTTTAAATTTACTCTCTATGAGCGAAAAATGTATTCTTGGTATTCAGGAACGAATGCAATACACATCAAAATTTCAAATACCAGTTATTAGAAGATTCAGCACCTTCAAGCTTGGATAGTACTGGTCACCCGCTCACCATATGTGTAGAGATTTTCTTTTTAAACCACCGCTCACACAATAGAGCATGATTGTAATTTTAATATCCATGATGAATAGTTACAAATGTCTTAAGAACTACAGTGCTTTCCAAGTTCAAATGTTTTCAATCAGGAA